CTAAAAATGCAAAAATTAGCCAGGCATGGTGGCAGGCACCGGTAATCCTAGGTATTCAGGAGGCTGAGGCAGAGAATTGCTTGAACCTGGGAGGCAGAGGTTGCAGTGAGCTGAGATCACACTTTAGCCTGAGTGAGAGAGTGAGAATGAATGAATGAATGAGAGAGAGAGAGAGAGAGAAAGAAAGAGAAAGGGAGAGAGGGAGGAAGGAGAGAGAAGGAGAGAAGAAAGGGAAGGAAAGAAGGAGAGGAGAGAAAGAGAGGAAGAAAGAAAAAGAAAAATGAAAGAAAGAAGGAAGGAAGGAAAGAGAGAAGGGGAGGGAGGGAGGGAAAGAGGAAAGAAGGAAGGGAGGGAGGAAGGAAGGAGAGAGAAGGAGAGAAGAGAAGGAAGAAGGAGAGGAGAGAAAATGAGAGAGAACTAGAAAAAAGAGAGAGAGAGAAATAAATCAACAAAGAATGGGGACTCCCCAAAGTTTAGCAGCAGTGGAAAGCTATTTCCACTCCTGTCCTCTAAAGGGGTAATGGGATAGCAGTGGTTTCCAAGGAGACCCATATATCTGGAGAAGACAGCTGCTAGACATGAACTATGACCTTCGATAGGGAAAGGCAGCCACTGACAAACTTCAGTCCTGTGGAGGAAGAACCCTTGGCCTCACTCCTCTAGCTCTCTGAACTAGTTCCCCATATGTCTAGATCCAAGGGAGTTCAGGTGATACAGTCTGTAAAGGTTAGTTTCCTGGGGAATAGAACTTCCTCTGACTGTGGGCAGAGAGTGGATCTGAAGAATCCATTAGAGAATGATGAGCACAAACTGCTACGATGGGGTGGAAGCAAATGTATCAGAATTAGGGGTGCAGGAGACAAATGCATGTCATTTGCAAGGGCATCCTAGAAGAATGTAATCATCCCCCTCCCCCAAAAGATGAGCAACATCGATTAAAATTAATAAAAATACAATAGAAGAATGTCAAATAAGCTGGCTGATTGAGATCATTTATTTGTTTATTCATTCATTTACGTATTCATTTATCAATCATCAAAGGTTTATTTGCACCTCTAGATATCAAGATTGCAAAAATGGATTAGATATCTCTATATGCCTGAAACTTTTTATAATTCAGTTTTGAAAGAATTGGATTATACAGGGTCACTGTCTTCAAGAACCTAACAGTCCGGACCAGGAAGTCCAGAGGATTCAGCTTCTAAACTGGAGGATTTGGCTGCTATACTGACTGTGGGGTAGAAGACGGGAGGGTAGGAGAGGATGTTCTGGGGTGGGTATTGAGCGGATGTGGAGGATTGGTGGGAGATGCGGTGGAAGAAGCAGAAAACAACTCCAGAGTTCAAGATTGCATTGTCATGTCTTCCTTTTAGAAAGATTCTTGCGTCATCAGAGGAAAGGATGGATTGGTGGAGCAAAAAACTAAGAAATGAGAAAACTAAGAGAAATGATGTGAGAGCCAATGAGTAATACCTGTGCATGAGACTAGGATCTGAACAATCGCAGGAGAACCAGATGTGAAAAGGGGATACATTCAAGAGGTGGTCATGGGGAAGAATGAACAGAACTAAAGAATTAAATGGCTGTGGTGTGTGCAAGAGGGAAAATGCTTCAAGCTGTTTTGCCTTCTCAATACTCCCACCCACTTTTCAGCTAGTAGCTCCTGGGTTTTCCTTTGAGAGCAGGACTCCCACCTGCCCAGTGAGTGCAGTTTCCATCAAACTGCTACCCATGGGTTCTTGTCTTCTCTGGCCAAAAGGGTAGTCACGTGACTCAAGTCAGGAGAATCAGTTGCTCCTACCTGAGATTTTGGAAATCTTGGGCTTGGCACCTAGATTCTGCCTTGGGTCTTGTCATTTTTGAAGCCTTCATCTTCAATTTTTTCCCTTACATTCTGTATGCTATCCATGGCTTTCTTTAAAAGTCCTTTTTGGGGAAATTCAATAAGCAAAAATGGTTTGTTCTGGAGAACAGAACTGCCTCTGACAGTGGGCAGAGAGCAGATCTGGAGAATCCACTGGAGAATCATGAGCACAAATGGTTAGTCTGGATGGTTGGAAACAGAAAACCTCAGCTGACTGTGGTGAAGGTGGTAACTTACACAGGGAGATAAATGCAGGTTGAGTAGAAAGTTTGAGATGGGGTTTCCTGCAGTAATGGATAAGTAGTTTGCTTTTGAGAAGCCTATGGAAAAGCAAAGGGAAAAATTCAAAAGTTGTCCAGGGCCTTTGGGGGAACTCTTAAAAATGACACCGTAGAGTGTAAAACCACCCCGTAGAGTTTAAAACCACCTCAGGTTCTTGGATTTAGAGAGTTCTAAACAATACTGACCTCCTAACGATTTACTCAGTCTTCTCCAAGGAGGGCAATTCCTCCATCGAGTAGCGACCGCCTTCTGCAGATACATCAGAATCAGCCGAAGGAGTGGAGCCACATTTTCAGCACAGAAGCCCTGAGTCCTGGCTCTGGTTACTTCACTAATTAGTTGGGTGACCCTGCTTCAATGCCTATCTTTCTCTGAAACTCAGTTTCCTTATTCGTAAAACAGAAAAGTTGAACTATATTTGGGATCTCAAACTACGTTCCAAGATAACTTCCTGTTTATATGAAAAGGGGTCCTGTATACTAGGAACCTGGATTAAATAGCCTTAAACAGATTTCCTTATTGCAAGACTTCTCAGGGCCCTAAAAACACTCATCTGTGATGCAAATCTCCAAGAGGGGCAAAAGTGAGTATTTCTCAATGTATCCTTGTCCAAGGAAACTTTTTTCTCCCGCATGATGAAACGTGAGGAACCAGGAGTCATCAGAAGTCACTTGTGGAAATGTCGAGTTAGGTGATTTCTAGGCTGTTCCAGCGCAAACACCCCATGATTCTGCCTAGCCTGGTGTTATGGCCCTCCTGTCTTTCCCACTTGCCTCCTCCTCAGGGATGGTTGGCTCTGAAGGACCCTCGCCATGTGTTGTAAAGGGCATCTCCCAGGAAAATCACACTTGAATGCCTATAAAGTCACTTAAAGATCTAGTGTGGCTCTTGAAACCCCCTGAGCAGCTTAAATGGAAAACACAGCCCCCCACTGCACCCGGAGCACAGATCCAGGCCCAGCCTGAAGGGATTGCAAAACATGCTCTAGCATGCATTTGGGAAAACAAAGAAAACCCTACTCTTCTCTGCTCCAGACAGTCTGAGACGCTTTGTGCCCTTGGGCCCTTGCCCGGTTCTCTCATCTGCCTCAGTCCTGGTACTAAATTGGTTCAAGGTTTGGAGGAAAGCTTCAGAGGAAAGGGGGAAAAGGATGTTTAGAGTTCTTAAATGCTGAAGTCACCCTGAGGACCGTAGCATAGGCCCTCGCCAGCCACCAGGGGGCGATGACAACAGCATCTGTACAGAGCCGTTTCCAAGAAAAACAGCAGTAAATTGCACCTAATGTGTTTATTAATGATGAAGGGAGGAGAGAGAGGGAAAGAGAGAGAGAGAGAGAGGAAGAGCGCAACTGGGACTCGAGTGTGTGTGAGAGTGTGCGTGTGTGTGTGTGTGTGTGCGCGCAACTGGGTGCCAAAAGCTAAAACTCTGAAAATCTGCTAAGTATAATAAAATAAAATCTGCAACTCTACTATATATTCACAGGATGTGGTCAAGTAGTTGAAAGTTTCCTTGAAGGAAAATAAGGTAGAAGAAATCAGAATAGCATTCCTATGAAAGAAAAGAAAAGAGCTCTCAGGAGTATAGTTGTTGTCACTGTGTGAGTGTGTGTGTGAGCATGCATGTGCACGTGTGTGTGATTGCAGGTATATAAATGGATGTGTGGGAGCCTGAGTATGTGAAAGTGTGTCTGTGGCTATGAATATGTAGGGGTGTGCATGTGTGTGTGTGTGTGTGTGTGCAGGGCTCATTCAGACCTCAGTGTGAGGGGATCTCAAGGAAATCTGGGCAATAGTTCCTCCAGTTCCTGCCCTTTCCTTTCAAACAAACAAACAAAATCATTCCTACAAGTATTTATGGAGCCTCTAATGCACACGCCCCTCCCCACTGGCATCTGGAAAAGCTCAGATCTAGCCAATTTAAAGCGGGCACTGGAAGAAAGAAGGTGCTGGGGACAGAAGGGATGCCTCGTCTTCGAATGACTTTTGCAAAAACACGTTCTCTTCTGTGATGCTCCAAACAACCCAGGGAGGTGAGGCCAGACAGGACTGATTTGAGAAAACGAAGGCTCAGAGATGACACAACTGGCCCAGAGTCACCCAGTTAGGAAGCAGAAACCCAAGGATGGAACAAGGCATTGTCAATCCAGGGGTCCAAGTCCCTGTCATCAGTACTTTCAGCAGCCCGCCAAGCGTTGGGTCTGCACAACGTAGGGCAAGTTTCTAGGTAAGGTTTGCTAGCAGTGACCTCAACAACATGGACCACCGTGTGTGTGTGTGTGTGTGTGTGTGTGTGTGAGAGAGAGAGAGAGAGAGAGAGAGAGAGAGAGCGCGAGCGCTGTGGAGTACCCTGGTGTCAATCAAGGCTCTTCAGGAAAAATTGTGGATCTTTGCCATGAGTACTAGGTACTGTAGAGAAGTAGCTTCGTGGGTGACAGTGCCATGGTTTGGCGTCCCTAGCAGCTGTGGGACCTCCAGCAAGTCGCTTCACTTCTCTGAGCTTTGTTTTCAGACTCCCGCTTGAAAGATCATGGACTTAACTAAAATATATGAGTAGAGTGCTCAGCTCAGTGCAAGAATTTAAAAAACAAAAGTGTCAAGAGCCTTATCAGTCCTTGGCTCCTAACAGTGCATAAGTTTCAGTGTTTCTTTCCCGGGGCCCTGCTGGCCAAGCCCCTTTCCTTCCCTGGTTCCTTCTCTCTCGCTCCTCTCCTGCCTCCTCCCTCCAGGCTCTGGGTCGCTCCAGCAAAGTTCCCAACTTAGTCGACATGACTCGCGGCGCAGCCAATGGGAGGCGGAGTTGGCGTTTTTTTGGGGGGGGGGCGGGGGTGGGAGGGGATGGGCCCCGCGTCTCCGGTGTCTGCCCTGCTCAGTGAATGGAGAGAGCGAGGGCAGGCCAGCTCACCCGGCCGCCCCGTGCCCCAGCAGCCGCCGCCACCGAGCGCCCTAGCCCAGCCCCAAGCCGGACCTCCCCGGGCGCCACGCCCCACTGCGCTTGCCCCAGATCCCCAACCCGGCCCGTGGGCCCTCGAGGCCAGGGGGCGCTCCGCACCTGGGCACTCCCAGCGATGCGCAGCGGGGCAGCGCCGGCCCCGCCGATGGAGCTGCCGCTGCTGCCGCCGCTGCCGCCCGGCGCTCCCCGCTCCGCCCGCGCCCCGTGCGCCTGAGCGCCGAGCTCGCCCCTCCTCCGCGCCAACTCCGCCGCCCGCTCCCCAGGCCGCCCGCGCTCCCAGCGCGCCTCCTCGGGCTCCAAACGTCTTGCCCCGCAGAGGCAGACTCCTCCGGGAGCGGGGCCCTCCCTGCACACCATGGCCCCCGGGCGGACAGGGGTCTGCGCCGCGGTGCGCGCCCGCCTGGCGCTGGCCTTGGCTCTGGCGAGCGTCCTGAGCTGGCCCCCAGCCGTTGCCTGCCCCACCAAGTGTACCTGCTCCGCCGCCAGCGTGGACTGCCACGGGCTGGGCCTCCGCGCGGTTCCTCGGGGCATCCCCCGCAACGCCGAGCGCCTGTGAGTACCCTTGCCCCACCCCACGCGGGCCACCCACCTGGGTCCCACAGAGGGGGCTCCCAGGCGCCAGATCCGTCCTTTCCCCTCGGCATCCCTGGATGCGGTCTCTATTCTCATCCCTTCCCAGATACGATCTCTCGCTCCCGGAGCTGGGGATCTGTAGGCTTGGTCAGATCTGGAAAGGGAGGTCTCGAAGCCCCCGCGAAGGGCAAAGAGCAGTGCCTTTCCAGGGGTAAGGCTCCAGACACAGGGCCGGCTGACAGCTTCCAAGGAGTAGCTGGCGGTAGGTGAGGGGAGGCAAGAACACTGCAGCCTTGTGGTCTTAGGGTGAGGGCCAGGGGTCTGCGCTTATTAAAAAGGGGGGCAGGCGAAAGAGAAAGCTATAGGATGATGGGGCGTCAAGGCACGGAGGCGGGAGAGAGGGCCCCAGACTGTTGACCCGCTTGGAGATCAGAATGGGCCAGCCGCTCTCTGGCTGCCCTTGCAAGGAAAGTTGAGTGTGGGTGAAGGTTTAACTTCTGAGGAACTGGACAGATTCAGAGTGGGTGCTCTCAAAACCCGCTCTACCTGGAGCGCAGCCTGGGAGATGCCAAGTTGCAGCCCCGGGTGAATTTTTAGGGCTCGGTTCTAAATGCCTCCCCGAACGGGGTTGGAGAATGGAAATGCTGACAACCCTTCAAATGAGACCCAGCGTTATAATCTTACAAACCGCATTCAGCCTCGGATCCTGGGCTTGGCAGCGAGTGGCGAGGCGCTTGGAGAATGGGGTGGATTGACCCTCGTTTTAGCCCCAATTGTGCAACCAAATATTTACTTTTCATATGTCAACGTTTTGGAAACGTTTATCATTTTGATCCTCGGACCAGATTCAAAACTTGGACTCCGGGGTGGGCTCCTCTTCGTCGGCAGTTGGAGTTGGGTAAGAAACGGTGGAGTGGGTGGGAGCCTTACTGGGAACCCAGCCGAGAAGTGGGTGAGGGTTTGCTCTAGTGTGGTAGACTCCCTCCATGTCTTGCTCTCCCTCTTTCCCCTTCCTCATGTGCCTTAGGGGTAGGCGCCTGGATCTTCCACTCTCTTCCAGACTTCAGGCTGCAAGAGAGTATTAATGACAGGCATTGTCCTAGAGTGTGCTATTCCTGTTAGTCACCTCCTATCACCCCACCTCATCTTCTCTTCCACTTCTTTGTGCCTCTCTGGGTGGAGACTCAACAGAACTGTCTTCCTTATTCCTGGTGCTCTCTTCTTCTTTTGGCTCAAAACTTTTTTTTCCCTCAAGTGCAGTGATTGTTCTGTTGGGTTGAACCACACAATCCTAAAGGGTGAGAGCGGAATCTTCATTAACACATGTTGAAAACCAGGCTTGGAAGTGTAAAACGACTTGCCCAAGAAAACACAGCAAGTTGATGGCAATAAAAGGGCCAGAATCCAGTTTTTCCGCACCTTAGTTCAGATATTATGTTAGTCCAGAGCAGTGAAAAACTTGTTTTAGTGCTATTTTTAGATATCTATAACTTGTAAACTAAGTTCCCCTCCTCCTCCTCACACCAGTGCTAGCCACATGAGTTACTGAAATAATAACTATAGCTAACGTTTGATAAATGCTTTTCATGCCTTGATTTGTGTATATGTACTATCTTATTGAATCTCTACAATAGCCTTATTAGTTACATAGGCAATGCTTATTACTCCATTTTACAGTTAAGCCGTCTTGTCATTTACTCAAGGTCACGCAGTGAGTGAATTATTTGAATCCAAGCCTGACTGGCTCCTAAGCCCACAACCCTTATCGCTCCCCTGTTCATCCTTGGAACAAGGGTCAGTCTGGGCCATGACCTATAAACAAACAGTCCCGGGAGGGTCCTGGCTGGGCTTGGATCTTAGAATAGGCTGCTGTTGCTTCTGCTTCTGTCATACCCTGCAAATGTGCAGCTCATTTTGATGTTAGGTCTGCTGCTTGGGGTCTTGAACTACTTCTTCCTCATCTTCCAAAACGTGCTGCATGTTGGGAAACCAAGAAGAGTAAACCCCTCTCCTCCTGGTATGTAGGAAGTTTCCCAAAGCTGTAGGAATAGTACCCACGCCAGCATGCCACTCAGTCATCTCCCTTTGGAGATCTGTGCAGCTCAGGGAAGCCCATCAGCTCCAGAACCAATGGTGTGGAGACTGGAGTCCTGGTGGTCCCCATAGACCTCCTGCTGCAGTTGCAGCCTGTCTTTAACCAGCAATGGCAGAGCAGGAGCTGCTTTGATACCCCTGGTCTCATCTGCCTCAGTTGTGGTCACTGGTGTCACTTTGGCTAAGGTGCATGGGGGTGCTGCGATGGTATCTCATTCTAGTCCCCTTCCTCCCTGGGAATGGGGGACAGCGTTTAGGAGCAAGCTGGGTCAGGTTCACTGCAGGGTTTCAGGGCAGCCCACCAACAGTCTTTCACCACCAATGTCCTTTACCAACCCCGCCTCTCAGCCAACTCAAATGCCACTTTTCAATTCTGAAAACTCTTGGGGGATATTTGGCATTTTTACACTCTGCCAAGGATTTCTTCAGAGAGGACTCACTCATTTATTCCTGCCTTCATTAATTCAACAAACATTACTTGGGGCTGGGCGCAGTGGCACTTTGGGAGGCTGAGGTGAGAGGATCGCTTGAGCCTAGGAGTTTGAGAACAAACATGACTTGAACCTCTACTGCATTCCAGAAACTGTATATAGAATCATTGCATATACAGAAGAAAACCAGCCCTTCATCGTAAGGAATGTAAGCAAAAGACAGAAGAAGGAGACTTGCTTTGGGGAGCCTTTTGAACTCCCCAGGGCTCATGTTGCCATGGGGCACGTTTTGTCAGCACTGTCCTCAGATGCTCAGGACCATCCTAAAATCCAATTTTCCAATCTCAAATGTTTAAATTGTGTTTTAAAACAAAGAAACAGCATTTTCTCCGTTCTACATTCTTGATACTCTGCCTCCCCAAAAGCCTTTGATGAAGGGATTTGTATGTGTGTGTGTCTGTGTATATTGTTTCTCTGGATGCTTTTGACTTCTGAAACCTTGTGTTATGACATTAAGGAAAACCTGAGTGGGGATAACGTGCTCCCCATTTGGGCTTTGCTTCAGGCCTGGAATGGGGCCTGAATTGTTCATAATGAAGCCAGAATCAGAGTCGGGGGTCTGTGTTCCAAGATCTTCTCTATAATGTCAGCACATCAGGCAGAAAAAGAAACTCTGTCTTTTATAAACTACTGACAATTTTTCCCCCTCCATGAGGAGGTGACACCCACAAGAAAGCTAAATAAATGCAGAGAAGAATTCAGTGTAATTTATTATCCATGCAGCAAAGATAGAGGACGAGAGGAGAGGAAGTGAATGGTGGTGCCTGAAACCAAACATTTACCATGGAGCACAGAGTAAACAGATGTTGCACTTACCCTTCTGACTACAAAAGGAGCCCACAGATGTCATTCTTCTCCAACCACAATCTCAGCCTGGAAAAAGAGGAGGCAGATGAAAATGAACTCTCACATGGGGCCACTTCTCCCCATCCTGCCGTCCTGCCTAGAGGCAGGCAGAGGCCCACTTCTCCCTGCAGTGAGGGGTGGCCTGAACAGTGGAGTGGGGGCAAGAGTGGACATCTTTGGTTTTTCACTTGGCTCTGGAACATGCTGGAGACTGCTGTATTTAAATAAACATTTCCTGTTTGCGAAGGAGATCGGGCGAAAGGCTGAAACATGAGAATGTGGTAACTTAATTTTCTCCATCACTCCAGATGACGGCTGGCTTTGCTGGTGGTTGGGTCCAATAAAAACCGGCACCATGTCATAGGCTTTCCCTCACTTGACCACAGAAGTCCTGAGGTCAAGTGGGAGACTTTCCAAGATGCTCAACAGCCAAGCCCTGCGTCCGGTACTTCCAGCCCTCAGGGCTAGTCCTTAGAGGACAGGGACAAGCTCGTGAATTATGGGACCTCTCTGGGTCAACCATGGTGATATGGCCTTTAAGGGAAACATAGTGCCCTCATGGACAGACTAAGGAGCAGCTGAGTGGGCCTGCCTCCAGTGGACCTGTATACCCTCCAGGGTGGACCCGCCTCCAGTGGACCTGTACACCCTCCAGGGTGGGCCCGCCTCCAGTGGACCTGTACACCCTCCAGGGTGGGCCCGCCTCCAGTGGACCTGTACACCCTCCAGGGTGGGCCCGCCTCCAGTGGACCTGTACACCCTCCAGGGTGGGCCCGCCTCCAGTGGACCTGTACACCCTCCAGGGTGGGCCCGCCTCCAGTGGACCTGTACACCCTCCAGGGTGCTGTGCAACTCTGAACAGATTGCATTACCTCTCTGGGCCTCACTTTTGTGAAGTAGAATTCTTGTATAGTCTTAGTGGTTTTCTTGGTTATGGTCCACTAGGGGAACTGTCAAGATCTGCTTCCCTAGTGTCTAGAACACTGCCTGGCGCACAGTAGGTTTTCAGCAAATATGTATTCAATAAAGGAAGAATGTGCCTCAAAAACGCAAGTCCTCCTTTAGTTCTTACAAGTGAAAGATGGAACATTCTAGATTTGCATTTTGGCTTATGACTAAGGGCTCCTTACTAGTCACCTGTGACATGAGTTATTAAGAGTATCTAAAATTTGGATTTTATGAACTAAAATCTATTGCCTTACTAGAGTTACCAAGGACTCCTGTTGAGTGATCTACTCTGAAGTCTGGTTGCCAGGCGTTGCTTAGCAACCCTGCAAAACTCCTACTGTGCACACGCCCATGAAAAGAGCTGGAAATCCTGAGCACTTAAACCATAGGACTTTCTAATCAGGAACTCATCAGCATCATCCTGAGCGCTCTGTGGGTTTTGATTGCTGCTCTTCTTGTATTAATTGATAAGTTCTGCTTTTGTTGATCATCTGGATTTTCTATTATTTCTGCATTTTTGCCATTTTGATTGTTATGTTGTTTTCTCTCCAGTATCGTTTGTTGTCACAGAGTTCTGTCTCTCCTGGAAAGAGAGATGGA